GCAGTCCACACATAAACACACAAATTCAAAGCACTCAATCCTGCAAGTACCCAATAGAAGTAATCAAGGTGTGCTCGGTTAAGATTGTCTCCCAACCATTCCTCCCCCGACTTGGAGCTAATCGCCTGCACCAAAGATATAATGGCACTACTAAGGAAGCTTCCAACTCCTAGAATACTAATATATGCTGCTGCCCCCAAACTTCTCAGCCCCTCTGGCATTTGATCATAGAACAATTCTTGGAGCCCCACAACTGCGAATGTATCTGACAAACCACAAATTAGGTATTGTGGGAGGAGCCACCAAACCCTAATTGGTATGATTGCTTTAGGGTTGTCCATGAGATCATGCTGTTTAGCCACACTAACCCTTTTGGCCTCCACTAGAGCTGCCGCAACCACGTTGAGGATGGAGAGAAATAGGCCAACGCCAATTCTTTGTAGCACGGTTATGCCTGCGGGGTGTCCGAAGAGCTTTCGGGCCATTGGGACCAAAATCCGATCGTAGATTGGGACGGTGATAAGGATCGTGATGCCAACGAAGACTTTAAGCGACGCTGGGGGAAGCTGGAAATGGGGTCCCATGGATCTGTTCATCTTGGAACCTTGCTTGGTGTAGTAGGTGTGGAGTTGAGATTGAACTACATTGAACATTAAGCAACTCAACCATATCGGAATAAGACGGAGGACCAACTTCACTTCTTCCACTTGATTTATAGAGCATAGTCTCCAAGGGTTCCTCGTTGTGCTCGATGCATCAAGGTTGTCAATGATCATTGCCTTGTCCAGAAACCTATAGTTATCAAAAATCAACCATACCTTTATTCAAAGAATATAACTACGCGTACACATCTTCTCTCCAAATTCTCTAGCCACTCAACCAAAATTGAGAACATCACAAATAGATGTGAATAAGTCGCGTTTCTTTTTAGAAAACATTTCAGTGTGATTGTAGATAACATCACATGAGATGTTGACGTTATATGCACATCAGAATCTTATCAATCCACCTAAATCATAACACAAATGGCAAAAGATTAAGCACGAGTTATAAATTGAGTGCCTTGAACATATCAGCTGTTACTGTCACACTAAAGCATGACGCATAAGATATAGTTGAAATATTTCCACTGGACTCTTCCATGACTTTTTTTTAAGTAGTTGCTTCAGGGTGCGAACATGGCCCTGCTGAGGTCACCATCCACAATCTACACTTAATAATATGAGCCACATTACCTTACGTTTTTATTTGTTTGGTCGAACGACCTTGCGTTCTACTCATGAAGTCCAACCAGGAAACTTGGCAACGGCCCACGTCACCCTTGGACATACCCGCCAAATGGACTCACTAAAATAACTGACTGAACCTTCTTTTTTTAATGCGATAAATAAAACCGTTTTTTGTTGGATTCAAATTCCAATCTTGTTGAAACTCATTACGTCATAAGTACCTGAATTGTTTGGTCCTAGCCAAAGTCTTTTGCTTGGGCTGAGCCTCCATATGAGTCTCACTCCTCTCATCTCCATAATACACATCCCAATCATGCGTCTCCTTCACACGCCACTTCCGTGCCGCTGCCGCAAACACTTGCGCCACCGCAGTGAACGGGCTCCCGAGGGGACCTTGTTTCCGGTAACTTTTGATTCCTAGCAAAAATAATATGATCCCGGCTGCTATGACCCCGGCCAATACACCGTAGCCTATAACCCAGCTCACGTTGTCCTGCAATGTATATGATATGAACTTTTTATTAGTGGGATCTTTATACTCCGGCCCTAATCCCACAAATTTTATTTAAGTTAATTTTTTATATGATTGGATTAAGTCTCTCATATACTGATTAGTATACGTGCTTGTGATGAATAAATTAATAAATAAAAATTCACAAGATTTTTCGATTAAAAGATAACATGTGTCCAAACTTAATTAATTCATTAAAATATTATATATCCCCATAATGTTTAATTGACGAATATATAGCGTTGAAGATCTAAATAAAAACAATAGAAAAATCACACAATTAATAAGCTTGAGAAGTCTGTCACCTGAATGTAGATGACCACAAGTGAGGCAACAGTGCCAGCAATTACTATAGCTAAATACCACCAGTTGAAGAATGAGCTCTTGGCCTTTCTCTCCTCCTCCGAGTCCTCGTCAAACTGATCGGCGGCAAAGGTTTGGACACAAGGCTTGTGCCCACCTTCGCCGACGGCTAAAATGTAAAGTGAGACGAAGAAAATGGCTTCGCGATAATGCAGAGGGACAACGGAGACAGATAAGCATAGCAGAAACATTCCCTGTGTGATAAAAAAATCATGGGACTCTGTAAGCTTAAGTTATCGGAAAATGAGCCAACAATGTATAGCGTGAAACTGAATGGAAGAAATTTACCATGAAATAAATAGAGGAGGAGAAAATGATGGTCTTGAAGCGACCGAGGTAGGAATCGGCTACCACGGCCCCAACCAGAGGGAAAAGAGACGACACACCCATCCACAAGTTGACGTTCTTTGCAGCCATGGCTGTAGGTTGGTGGAGTTCATTTGTGAGGTACATGATGAGATTTCCAGCCAAGCCATAAAATGCAAATCGCTCTGCTACCTCCACAACTGCACATCCCACATTGCATATATATAAATCTATTAGAAAATTACAGAACAAAAAAAAAAAAAAAAAAAAAAAAAAAAAAAAAAAAATTTGAACACCAGTTATACAAGTTAATTGAGTCTCAATTTTTAGAAAAATAAAAATAAAAATAAATTAAAGAGCTTACAGATGATGAAAATGGCAGCGTTCCAGCCACCCCTTGAGGGTTTGGGGTGGGTGGAGGGGTTCCGGCTGCGTAACTGGAGGCCATTTTCGGCCATGATGTCTTTGGGTGCAGAGAGAGGAGGGAGGGGGTTGGTATTAAACGTTTGGGATTTGTCTTGATGAAATGTTTTGAGGGCTTTATGGATGCTTTATATAGAAAAAAAAAATCCAGGATGCGGTTGCTTTCTGTGAACATTTGTTTTTGGCAGGACTTTTAGTAGAATTTGGCAATGATGTTTCACACTAGTAGTGAGTCATCTCTCACATTCCATTTTGTGATTTTTTTTTTTAAATAAAAATATATATATGGTTATAGAAATTATATATTTTTACATTCTCAGTTTCTCATTTTACATTCAAAAATTAATATTTTGTTATTTAAGAAG